TCTTTCCTCTGTCTTTTTAAAGACTTAAAAAAAACCCAATTTCCTGTTTTTATAACTGTCTATATTCTATTTCTTCTCTCTCTCCCAAGCCTATATACCTTTATTCAACATTGTTACCCATTTAGAGGTCTTTTCCATCTGAATTTGTCTTTATTGCATATCTGTAATTCTTTACTGTCCAGGAGTGTCCCGCGCTACCATCTCGCCAGCAAGAACGACGCGGCACACTTAGGATCCTTCTGCAGAAAAGCTTTAATACATCTTGAGAGAGAGAGAGCATAAGCTTACAAAGCAGAGACCCAGAATGAGGGGAACCCATCCCTTATATCGGAAACAGTCCTCGCTTCAGACGTGTCAATCTTGGATTGGTCCGCTGCCCATCAACCCAGATGATGCCTCGGGAGTTGGCAGGGACAGCAGCAGTGGAAAGTTATTAAAGGCATGTGCTACAACACCTTGAACTCACAGAGATCTGTCTCTGCCTCCCAGGCATAGGGATTAAAGGCGTGTACTACCACACATTGAGGTCACAGAGGTCAATCTGCCTCTGCCCCTTGAAGTCAGAGGTCAATCTACCTCTGCCTTCCTTGTGTTGGGATTAAAGGTGTGTACTGCCACACCCTGAAGTCACAGAGGTCAACTACCTCTGCCCCTTAAAGTAATGGAAAATGTGGTTGTGGCCCTCCACATCTCCCCCTTTTTTACTTCTTTGCAGAAAGGCAACTCCCTCAGAAGGCAAAGATAGAGGTCGCACTTCCCAGAGCGGAAACATTATAATGGGCTTGCACGGAATCTGCCCCTAGGTTCATGACACCTGGAACTTATCCGGCCTGCCCTCTGCCATTTTTCTGGGAAAGGGAATATATGGCAGGAAACCCTTATGCAGGGTGACATATCTCTCAGAGAGGGCCATTCTCTGTGCAATGCTCTTCAGCTCAACAACCTTCAGGGCTAGCTAAGCCAAGCACTCCACCCTGTGCAATGGACCATTGTCCTAGGGGTGCAGGAGCTGGTTGGCATAAACCTTACTGCTTCAGCATAGATAACCACACATCAGTAGAGGCTCCCTGTTCCAGGGCAGCCAGCGCTTGTGCAATAACCATTTTGTCCCTACGGCTTTGGGATTTGAGTCGGCAGACCATCCAAAGGAGAAACACTATTCCACAGCATAGGGCTGCTCCAAACATTCCCACCCCCACCCATTCTTTGAAGTAGGAGATGAAGGACACAACCCAGGACTGGAATCCTTCGGCTAAGCTTATAAATCATCTCTAGAAAGGTAGGGAAGCCCCAGAGTCTTATTGGTTGTAAAAAAATGAGGAAACACCGCCAATCTATGGTTGACTGGTATCGGCTTTGGGAAGGCTGAGAGTATCCCCCATCGCTGCTCCATCATAACCGTTGTCATCCATCTGCAAAATGGCAGGAGGAACAGAAGCCAAATCTTTAGGCAAGTCCACATGTTGTGGGTCACTTTTTACCGTTCGGGTCAGTCTCTCTGGCACCCAGAATGGGTTTTCCTGATCCTGCGGGAACACATAAACAGCTCCCCTGGATCGCAATAGAATGGGATCTGGGCCTTTCCATTCATTAGAAAGCACATTGTTCCATTTAACCAAATCCTTGGGCCGCTGCAGATCCAAACAATGTCGTGTTGCCGCATTCTGGCCATTATCATCCAAATTTAAAAAATTTATCGTGAACAGAGCCATGGCAATGGCCACTCTTGGCGTCGGGGGCAACTCCTTCATTATTCCCCTTTTTTGTTTAAGTAGAAAAGATTTTAAGGAGGCGCCGGAGGGGCAGTTGGGGGAGGACATGGCTCATAAGGAGGCGGATGGGCCGTTCGGGATGACCTTCTCAAGGCCCTACCGCTGGAAGACCATGCCCCGTTATGGGAATATCTTTCCCTCTCATATCTAGCCGCTTCTTCTTCTAATTCTGCCTCCTCCTCTATATCTAGTTCTTCTACCTCTTCTCCTGAGCCAGAACTTTCATTCTTATGCTCACTTTCATGGTCACTTTCAATTTGCAGAACTTCGAGCTCCTGCAGTGGATATAAACTGCTGTTCTTTCCTTTTTTCTTGTTGTTGGTATCAGAAAGCTTTTGACCTTGTAGGTCAGTCTTCTCCCCCATTTTTATTTTCTTAGAACCAACGGGGGGTCATTTTTTCTTATCTGGGACTCTCCTTTTCTTGCGCGCACCCAACCTCTCACTGCGTTCAGATTCTGACATGCTATCCTGGACTTCCTCCAATACACTTTGTCCTTCTGCAACAACCGCCTGGCAGGATTCATCTTCTAAGCAATTCCTGACGAGAGCCCAAATGACCTTCGTCCCCTGTCCCAAATCTCCTTCCTTTAACTTTTGATCAAGATCTTTACCTATTTTTTCCCATGAGGCGAGAGTCAGAACCCCAGAGCAAACATACCAGGGAGCAACCCGGTCAACTTCTTTCACAAAGTTTTTCAGTGTCCGCTGACCAATCTTTATGTCCCTTTGCTTCAGGACCGCGTCCAAGGCGGATGGAATAGACTGTGAAGAGCCCATAACGGCAGACAAGCCCCCGCGGCTTATGTATGTCTGGCTTACAGGCACGATGAAAAATGAAAGTAAAGCCCGTGTGCAGTTCCTTTATGTACAGGAGACTAAAACACAGGACAAGGCACAGCTGCTTATCTATGTCGGACTTAGGTGCTTAGCAATTGAATCGCCTGAAACAAAGTGATCCCAAAAGAGAAAATAAGAGAACTGCTAAAAGAAGTACCAAGGCCTCTACGAAACCTTCCCAAGGTGGAGACAAGTCAAGCCCAAAATCAAAAAGTCCAGGAATAGTCATACCTCTCTGAACATATAGACCTGCAGTTCTGAATCCTCCTTGTGTCCAAGGGGTCTCCGGCAGTGCGAGCAGTGGTCAGGGTCCCCCGGCGTCCTGGGTTTCGGCACCAGATGTCCCACGCTACCGTCTCGCCAGCAAGAACGACGCAGCACACTTAGGATCCTTCTGCAGAAAAGCTTTAATACGTCTTGAGAGAGAGAGAGCATAAGCTTACAAAGCAGAGACCCAGAATGAGGGGAACCCATCCCTTATATAGGAAACAGTCCTCGCTTCAGACGTGTCACTCTTGGATTGGTCCGCTGCCCATCAACCCAGATGATGCCTCGGGAGTAGGCAGGGATGCAGCAGTGGAAAGTTACCAAGCACATGCGCATTATCTTGTTCACCTGGTGATGAGGCCGGATGCCAGCGCCATCTTGCAATGGAGAATGTGGTTGTGGCCCTCCACAGTTATCTACATTAAGGGAGTCATTTTAGGGTTGGCAAGAGACTTGGCTCTACAGGGGATCCCAGGTTTCCATGGGATGTTCCCAGCTAGGTCCATGGATAGCAGAGGAGAGGGTGCCTGAACTGTCCTTGCCCCACTATCACGCTGATGAATATCTCGAATATTACCATAGAATCTTCATCCAGCAACAGATGGAGATAGAGACAGAGGCCCTCATCAGAGCAACGGACTGGGCTCCCAAGGCCCAGCTGAAAGGCAGAAGGAGGGAGAAGATGAGCATGGAAGTCAGGACCGCGTGGGGTTGGTCCACCCACTGAGACAGTGTGCCTGTTCTAATGGGAGCTCATCAAATCCAGCTGGACCAGGACTGAATGAGCATGTGATCAAACCGGACTCTCTGACTGTGGCTGACAATGGGGGCTGACTGAGAACCCAGTCTTTCTTTGACCCCAACATTTGTTTTCTTTATATAATCAATGTGTATAAATTTCACCATGGGCCCCTTGCTATCTACAGTAAGTTAATTGTTGAGTTAATTACAACACTTAGTCTGATATCATAGAATTTCAGGAGTGTGTACTATATAGGTTGGGGGCCTCCATTTAGGTAGTAATCTCTAGAGGAGGAGGTGTTCTTAGAATTGGTTGTTAGGAATTTTTCTAAATTATCCAGAAGCAAGCTGTATTGAGAATCTTATAGTCTGGAGTCCATAACAAAATACCATAAACTGAGTGGCTTGTAAGCCTGAAAATTTATTTCTCACAGTTCGCAAGTGTGGAACGTCCAAACTTAAGGCAGCAGCAGATGTCTAGGGAGGGCCAGCTCTATAATTAGTGTATGGAAATCTTTGCTGTGTCTCTCAGGGCAGATGCTAGTGCTTTAGCTCCTTGTAAAGGTACAAATCCCATTCATGATGTGCTCTATTGTCATGACCCCACTACCACCCAAGGACTCCATACCCATCTTATATAGCATTAGGTTTCAACCATGTGAATTTGGGGCAAGTACAGAGCTATAGAGCTTTATTTCCAACATGCACTGTGTCCTATAGAGAAAGACACAGTATTAAATCATGAAGTTTCCACATAAATACTGACAGTAGAGCTGGGGATTTGGCTCAGTGGCAGAGAGCTTGTCTAACATGAGCTTCTGGATTCCATAATCAGCACCACATATCCCACCTCCAACTAAAAGTTTCTGCAGGAACTGGGAGGACAGTTCTGTGGTGAAACATTTGCCTAGTATTCATAGTCCTGGGCTTGATCCCAACTCTGAAAACAGAAATTTACAAACAATTTCCAGGGGCAGAAGAGATGACTCAGTGGATTAAGAACTCTTCCAGGGTACCCAGTTAATATTCTCTATATCTTCATGGCAACTTCTGTCTGGAACTCCACTTCCAGGGAATCTCTCTTCTGGCCTCCTTGGGCACCAGGCTCACAAGTGATGCACAGGAATATATGGAGACAAAACACTCACACACATAAAATAATAATAAAAAAATAATTTAAAAATTAAAAAAAACATTTCCAAGTGGTATACAAAGCTCATGTGAACTACTTGACTAGCAGAAATGATACCCTCAGTTTACTCCTCAGCACTGAAAAAACCTTCTATAAATAATGTCAAATTGGGCCTTTCATTGAGCTCTATTTCAGGAGAAAGAGCAGTTAAGGATATCCATCTTAAGATTTCTTTCTAGATTTGTATGTACATGTACATGTATGGTTCCCATTTAAGTGATCACATATAAAAAAACACACCAAATGAATCTTGTGCCAATGAGATGCAGTGATAAATACAACAACCAATAATTTGTTGTGCCATGCATTTAATTGCCTTCAAAACATATGTCTATTCTTGACAGTGATTACATGCCAGTATTCCACATGTAGATTCAATTGTTTTAAGTCCTTAGTAAGTGGAGAAGATGTTGTCATCTTCATGACTTTTGTCACAAATAATGACTATGTCTGTATCACTGTCTTCACTCTCATATGTTTTCATAGTCTCATCAGTCTCATTGTTTTGATAACATTTGTACTTGTACCCTCTTTCAGTGTACTTGTACTGTGCTCCATAAAAGGACTTGGGGAATGACTTCATTGTGTTTGAATCATAATGATTTCCAGCATGTTCCCTCCTTGGCCCCACAAGATCATTGAGAAAAAAATCAGGATTACAAGTAAGACATTTTTCTTGATAATATTGGCAAAATGTGAATGATGAATGCTTCCTGGGTAACACAGCCTTTCCTGTACTCACTGACTTTTTTAGATCACGGCGTTCACGTGCCTGGTTTGGTCTCCTTCTAGATGGTTTGATGGTCACATGTTGATTATTGGAGACTGATGGGCAAGGCTTTGTGGTTAGAGCAGCTGACATTTGCACAGTGGTTAGCCAGGGTGGTGTGATTTGCATCGCTGAGCAGGATGAATGGACTTGACTAGTTAATTTACAGGTATGGGCGAGCTTACGTGAGTTTTTTAAGGCTGTGTTTCTTGTATAGCTTATTCAGGCTAGCTGACTTATGTAATCTTTGGGGATGTGATGACTTGGTTAACTTTTTTGGATTGAATTCTCTGTTTGACTTCTTTACACTGCATGGCATCGATGACTTATCTGTATTTGTACATTTCATTGAATTTTGTGGGTTGGATGGTATGCAAGGCTTTTGTAGACTTGAAGGCTCATCCGGTTTTATTGTATTGTTTGGCATAGATAGATTTTCTTGACATGAGGGTCCAGATATATGGTCTGAGTTTAACAGCAGAGGTTGAGTTTCTAGAATATCCTCAGTTATTATATCAGGTTGACCAGCTGATACCTTAGATAACCAGGATGATATAGCTTCCATCTTTTCTTTGTTGAGCCTAAAACACAGAAAACTTTGGGTGTCATAATTTAAAACAAAAGTACTATGGCTATCATCAGAAAATATAATGTTAGTTTAGGGTATGGATTTATCCAGAATAAAAGTTAAACATAGAAACAATTAGAGTGTGATAGGGGAGTTTCTTGCTTAACATTGTTTGTTGTTTGTAACTTTATATTTATTATTTGCTTCTATTGTATATAGTTGTATTTGGTTTGGTTCTGTATTATTTTAGAAAAAAAGGGGAGATGATAGGGGAGTTCAGCCAATCACATTCTGTTTTTGGGGCGTGCTGCCCTCAGGCTAAAGCCTGCCTATAAACCTAGCAAGCATGCTCTGCTAGCTCTCTTTCGCCTGGCTCCTGCGGCCAGATGGATCGTTTGAATTCTGGTGTAAGCTGTTGTAAGTCTTACTTCTGTTTATTAAAGCTGTATATTTTGTATTAAGATAGTCTGGGGATTTTTCATTACCTATCGCCCCGCAGCATCAAGAGTGTGCTGACAGCTGTAACACACGTTATACATATGAATTCATAAATAATTTTTCTTACAGAATATTTTTAACATTTCAAAGGCATTAGATAACTTTTATTCCAAGTATGGGAGGACACAAAATTGTCAATAATAATAAAGATGTGGTACGTATGTATAGTAGACTATAACTTAGATATAAAATTGAAAATTTCAGGGGAAATGGGTAGATTTGTGCATGAGTAACCCAGGATAAAAAGGACAAATTTCACCAGTTCTCTTTCATATGAGGATCCTAGTTTTAGTACATTATATCTAGTGGAGTACCTGTGCAGACTAGGAAACAAAAAAGCAAAGCAAGTGTGTGTGTGTGTGTGTGTGTGTGTGTGTGTGTGTGTGTGTGTATGCATCATGTGTGTATATCTTGGGGGGAGGGTAGTAGGTCATAGATAAAAGGAAGAGGGATTCTGAGAGGAAATGTTTAGACAGAGAGGGAGGCAGAAAGAAGGGGAATTGGGGAGATGAAGGTGTGGGATGGAGGAGGATTAATTGGAATAAAAGAAGTATAAAAACATTTGGAAAGCTAGATATACCCACAATAACAATAACAGCCTGATTGTTTGAGTAGTGGTGCTAACTAACTGCTCTCTGAATGGATTCTAGAGTCTCAGTCTGGGTGATGGAAAGGGGGCCAGTAAGCTTGACTAACAACTCAAGTATAGGAGGTGGTATGCCCACAGGAGGAACGGACTTCTGACAGTTAATTTAACTGATATAACTGCAAACTGCTTTCTAACCACCCATGTGTATACCCACAGGCAAAAGCAGCTTTAGCCTTAATCAAGGAAGCCTCTCCTTACAATGAACAGTGGAGAATTTAGAAAATATGTCACAGATGTAGATTGAGCCCCAGGCAAGTCACTTATACCACCACTTCTTAGAATCAGGGAATGTTGTGGAATTGGTGGCCAGAAGTCTTAAAGAGCTGGAAGCTAAGGTCAACGACTAAGGTGAAAGGCCATTCCCTCCACTTGATGATGCAGCTACTGTAATCGTTAACTCACATCAACTGTTGTTACCTGCACTAAGACCACATCAAACATCATAGTCTCCTTGTCCATTCACACTTAGGGGATCCTGCAACAATCTGTCTCCATCTACCTGGGTTCCCTTGATTGATCTCCAATGCATTACAGTCAGTAAGAGTGGGGACCCTCAACCCTTATATACCCTTAATTTCATCCATAAACGTGCAAAGTAACTTGATGTTCATCTTGTAAATGAGTTTAGGGCTCAACTCTTAAGGACACAATGTTAGACAGGTAAACAGATATTAGTTTTGGAGGCTATTGAAAAGGGACCCCTCCCTTCCATCATCTTCCTCTTCCAAAGTTTACTGTACTGAAGACTTCCCCATGCCCTCTCTGAGGAGGATACAGACCCTGTCAAGCGAGAGATACAAAAAGAAAAACTATTCTGTTTTTCACTGGTATAATGGAAACAAAAGTCAGGAAATGTTATTCATAGTCATGACATTTTGTAAAACTCCTACATTTTGATTAAACAGGGACAATTTTGGAAGCTAACGCCGTCAAATTTCTAGAATAAAAGCAACTTGCTTCGTTAGATTACTGCCTTCTTTTATCAACCTCCAGTAAGGGATTAGGCATGAAAGATGTTTATTAATCACCTAACATCCTTTGGCTGGCCTGGAACTTACTCTGTAGATCAGGCTGACCTCAAACTTATAGATTTCCACCTACCCCTGACTCCCAAGTGGTGGGATAAAGCATGTGTGCCACCATACCTAGCTAAAGGAAAAATTTCAATCATCCTTTTCCCAATTTTCTGTCCCATGGCTACCCCAGATTGTAATCAGATAGTGAGTTCTTACTCTTTTAATTAAAAAATAATAATTTAATTTTATGTATATGGGTATTTTGCTTGCATGTATGTCTTTACATCATGGTTGTGCTTGATGCCTGTAGGGGCTAGAAGGTGACAATGATCCTCTAGACCTGGAGTTACAGATGGTTTTGAGCTGCTGTGTAGGTGCTGAGAATCAAATCCAGGACTTCTAATAGAACAGCCAGTGCTCTTAACTGCTGAGCTATCTCTCTTTAAAACAGAGAGTTCTTCGGAAGAACTTACTTTCCCCCATATAAAAGCCTGTATTATTGGGGCTGGGGACATGGCTTAGTGATTAAGAGTACTTGCAGTCCTTGCATAGAAACTGGGTTTAGTTAACAGGACCCACTGTGGCCTCCAAGCAGCTTTAACTCCATTTCCAAGGGATTTGATGCCATCTTTTGGCTCCTGCGGGTACTGCATGCACATGATGCACATTTGTATATGCAGACTAATATACATATAGAAGTAAATACCTGACTTTCTTTCTCATAGATCTTTCACTTAAAACTCAAGTAAATAGCTGTGTATGGTAGCATATGCTTGTACCCCACATGTGAGGGAGAGGTTGCTGGGGAAGATTGCTAGGGCTTCCTGCCTGTAAGCCAATATTTAGGTTTAGTGATACACCCTGTATCAGTACAATAAGGCATGAAGCGCTAAAGCAGAACACATCTGACATCATCTTCTGGTTTCTGCATGTGTACACACACCTGTGCGCAAATACTTCACCCACACACCCACCCACATACACACACTTTTCATTCTTAAATGTATAAAACTTACCCTCCTGGTGGTGGATCCTTGATCATGCAGTTATTATGCAGTAAACATATGAAGGCAAAGAAAAAGATCATGGTCATTATTCCAACTATGTGGTCCAGCGGGCGTCTCCTAAAATTGTCCATCTGTGATCCTGTAGAGTCAGTAGTTTTTCCAACTGCAAATAGATTGTATCACCAGCAAATGTGCTAGGTAACCCAGTTTCCCCCACTTTGAGAGTGGTTTGCCACTGTACATGGAAGTCAACTCTCTTTCTCAATGATTTTTTGAAAAATATATTTAAGTCTATGAGTGTTTGCCTATGTGTTGGAGTGTTTGCTTGGATGTATTTATGTATACCATATGTATGTATGCCTGGAATCTGGAAGAGGTTAGAAGAGACTGTCAGATACTCTGAAACTGTTGTGACAAATGCTTGTGAACTACCATATGAGTGTACCAGGAACTGAACTCAGCCCTCTGTAAGAGAAACAAGTGCTCTTAACCACTGAGCTATCTCTCCAGTCCTTCAGTGATTCCTTTTTAAGTTTGTTTCCTTCGTAATTTTCTTGTGTGTGTGTTTGTGTGTGTGTGTGTGTGTATGTGCATACATGTGGGCATGTAAGTATGCAAATGTGATTTCCCCATGCATGTGCATGTGAATGTCACTGGAGGACTTTAGGTATTTTTCTCAATCACTATCTGTAACATTAGGAGGCCTGTTTGTTTGTGTTTCTGTCCTGCCCGGTCTCCACCAGCTGTTTAGCTCCAAAGAAAATAACACAGAGGACTCCTTAAGTTATAAAACTGATTGGCCCATTAGGTCGGGCTACTTATTGGCTAACTCTTACATCTTGATTAACCCATTTATCTGATCTATTGTAGCCATGTGGCTCAGTACCTTTTTCAATGGGGCAGCTCACATTCTGCTGCTTCAGTGGCCTGGGCAGGAGTGGGAGGAATCAACTTCCTCCTCCCCAGAATTCTCCTGCTCTCTTTGCATCATTTCCACTTCCTGTCTGGTTTTCCCGCCTATACCTCCTTCCTGGCCAATCAGCATTTATTTAAAACATGATTGACAGAATACAAACAATTCTCCCACACCACTTCTCCTGCACCAACTATCTTATTTTTTGAAATCTCTATCTATCTATCTATCTATCTATCTATCTATCTATCTATCTATCT